CAGCAGCACTGCAGTTGCCATACCACACTGTGATGCAGCCTGTCAGTGTGCTTTCTGTAGTGCATCTGTAAAAGGTAGTGAGGATCTGGGGACATATCTTAGCCTTCTTCAACCGTCTATGGAAGTACAGGCGCTGTTGCGCTTTCTTGATCAGACCAGGGGTGTTGAGAGACCATGTGAAGTCCTCGGTGATATGGATGCCAAGGAATTTAAAGTTACTGACCCTTTCCACTTCAGTCCTGTTGATGTGGATAGGGGCATGTCCGGTTTGCAGTTTCCTGAAATCAACGATCAGCTCCTTGGTTTTGCTGATCAATAATGTTCAATATCTCTGTTAATGAGCCAGCCAGGGGGGTAATAGAGATAATACAGAGAGAGGGATTAATACAGGACAGAGTGGAGGGAGTGAGAGGGGCTGACAGATCACAGGGAGAGGGTACTGTACAGTACACCTTATAATCTGCCGTATTCTTTGTTTACTAAAACCGTTCCTGGATCTCTGTTAATTATCCATCTCGGGCTGCTGCTCCCTGTTATTGTGTACCCGTTGGATGTGTGAGGTATTTCCATATGGAAATCTGCTGTGTGGTATCACTGCTCTGATCACTCCCAGTGCTGAGCAGGTCTGTGTGGTTAGAAGTGGAAACAATTGACTACTGTGTGCCTGCTCATGTAAAGAAAGAAACAGCTCCAGTCTTTCCATCTCCTCTCTCTCTCTGCATGACTCTCTTTACTGAGTCTCATTTACTACTGAGGGCTTATATTTCATCTGTCTCTCTGTCTCCCTTCCTGTTGTGTGTGTTTATTACTCTGTTGTCTCCTCTCTCCCACTGTGTCTCCTGTCCTGTTGTGCATGTTTATTACTGAGTGTCCAGTGTCTGTATTAACCCCTTTCTCTCAGTGCAGTGTTAATGTCCTGTAGTGTCCAGTCAGTGTGTCTGTACTGTATTAACCCCTCTCTCTCAGTGCAGTGTTAATGTACTGGAGTGTCCAGTCAGTGTGTCTGTACTGTATTAACCCCTCTCTCCCAGTGCAGTGTTAATGTACTGGAGTGTCCAGTCAGAGTGTCTGTACTGTATTAACCCCTCTCTCTCAGTGCAGTGTTACTGTACTGTACTGCAGTATCAACCTCAAGTCTCTCTCTTTCTCTCTCTTGTCCTGGTTCAGACAATTTGGGGCAGATTAACGAACAGGCTGGGTTCTGTAGCCTAGGAGCCCAGATTGATCAGGGGCCCCTGATTGGCCAGAATTGTTTTGTTTTATTGTTGTAACGGACCTGTGGGCCCCCATTGGTGCATAAAAACGTTGAATGATTTGTGAATGGACGATTGGTTAGATGCAATGTGTTCGCAGTTCAAATTAACTTTGGTGGATTTTATATCACTGCTGTGTCATCTCTGGTGCACGTTTACGGTGGCTAGCCTCAAAACGTGTGATAGAAAACATCACAGCAGGTTCCGGTTCGCAGGCTTGTACCCTCACCACAGGGGCTCGAACCCGGGTCTCCAGCGTCGATCAGCGGGGACCTTGCCAGCCAAGCTAGGGAAAACTCTCGCTCGCCCAGCTGGCCAACATGCCTGTGATGCGCAGGAGAGTACAGGGCGGTGCTGTCACCGCACTCGCACAACCCGTGTCAGTGTTACTTACAATAATGGTAGTGGGGCGCAAAACCGAAAAGCCCAGCAGTTAGGAGATCAGGATCTACTTAAAAAGACCCCCAGGTCAACTGGTTATCTCAAGTCTGCTGGATCGTGATCCACTCAGCCTGAGCCAGACCCCGAACCCGAGTTTACGGCTGACGTTGCGGCCACTGCTACAGTACAACAGCCGCGGTCGACAGGCGAACTGCGGCTAACTCTAGCCCGGGCGCAGACCACACCCTCGCCGCTCACGACGACGAGCCAGCGCACAGACTGGCTGGGAAGCTGATTGATTGGCTGCACTTACATTACTTTACAGGCTACGGCACTGTGTGTGCGTGTTCCCTGTGTGTGCCGCGTCATATTCCGTTTGAATCGGCGGTAGCAGGCTCTTATTCCGAATGCGTCACTGAATTATTACAGTATTTTCTCTCCGCTTTTTTTCTGGTAATTGGGATCGGTGCGGCCTCTGATCACCTTAATCCACCCCTGCAGACAACAGATCTCAGTCTCAGTTACAGAGAGTAACAGGTAACCTTGCTTTTGCCTTTTTGGGTTTTTACTGATTTGACTCGTCTTATCAGATCCTGAACCTCCTGCATTGTGCCTGACCACAACTGCATTGTTGCTGGTGCAGCAAGAGTCTGATCGGAGGAGCAGTTAATGTTGTCGGAGCTCAGATAAGAAGAGGCAGGTCTGCTGCGCTAGAGATAGATCCCTATCTGCGACCCTGATAGCGCACAGATGCTGACTTCCTGTTGTGTAACTCGGTTATAACCATTTCCTGCTCCCATCTCTCTATCCCGCCAGTTCTCCTCCTCCTGTCGTCCAGACTCGAGCGACTGTTTGCCCCGCAGCCTGACCGTCAGACCCCCGAAAGTCAGTCCTGGGATGGGGGGAGACGTTCCCAGGAAATCAGGATGCGGGCTGAACACGAGAACGTCCAACCTGTTAGAATGGAAAGGAGGCTGTCCCAGCCCCTCTGGACCATTAGCTGATCTCAGGATCTCATCCAGCTGTTTCCTGAAAGAAGCTTCAACAATAAGGCTGGGCAGCTTGTTTCAGACTCCCACCACCCTCTGTGTAAAGAGGTGTCTCCTGATCTGAAAGCAGTATCTCATCTAACTGTTTCTTGAAGGAAGCCTGGGCATCGTCTGGGCAGCTTCTTCCAGATTTCCCTTCCGAGGACCAGTAGTTGGCACTCTGCCCCCGGAGCACAATTTCACTGTGCAGTCTGAGGTGCCATCCTACAGATCTGACATTAAACTGAGGTCCTGACTACTTGGGCATTAAAGACACTAGGGATGAGTGTTAACCTCAGAGTCCTGACTAAACTACACTCTGTAATCCCACAATCCCCCTGGTTCCTCTCTGCTGCCCTGATCTGTGTGTAGTGGGGCTGCATATCAGTAAGGGGTGAAGGGTGCAGGATCTCCTTCTTTTGTGAAGACCACTGGGGTCCCTCAGGATTGACAGTGTTGTTCTTTGAGAGGTGATGCACGGTTTTTAAGTGGAAACCGCAGATATTAAAGGGGTTCGTCCGACCTCGTGTTTAAGGTTTGAGGCGCGGCCCAGCCGGTCACTGACCGGCCTCGTATCCCACCCTTCGGCCACAGCACGCAGTTAACGAGCTGCAGGCTCGCTCATTCAGAAAGATGCTCATACCCCCCATGACTTCCTGTACGAGAGAGAGCGTGTGCGCGCTTCTGTCTCTTCGATTTCTCGAACCCCCGTCACACAGGAAATGTGAACTGCTGTCGCGATGGTCCAATCTTGTCACCGCTGTTTTGCAGACGCAGTGAGCGCTGTCTCTGCAGGCCGTGTCAGTGGCTCTGAGGGGGGAGACTCGCTCGCCCACATGCACACTGATACTGAGCTCGCTAGCGACAAACCGGAGCAGCCTCGCAGTGATCCAGAACACGCGGTGCACTCTCGCGGCCCGCAATCTGTTCCTGTCCTGTCCTTGCAAGACTTTTCCCCTCTCCAGCAAGAACTCCAATTCCCGAGAGCCAATCGCATCACACAACAACTGGGTATTAATGTCCCCCCCCCAGGAGCAAAACTAATTCGATTGGCCACGTTTCCACAGATCTCACCGTGAATCTAGTAGTAGAAAAACCGCCATCATCTTGTGCGGAACTGTGGTGATGGCTAGCGGGAAAGACGATGTCGAAGAGAAGAAAAGTAGGCAGAGGGGGTGGGGGGGGTGGGAGAGAGAAAACCTGTTCGTTGAACACAGGGGAAACTCGTTGTGTCTAAAATGCCAGGAGACTGTGGCCGTTACGAAAGAGTTTAACAGGAGGCGCCATTACCAGACAAAGCACTGAGAAAAACACGAGGGCATACATACTGTGGAAAGGGAAAGAAAAACGACTTCAAAGGGGAACTTGATTATCAGCAGAGTCTGTTTTATAAAAGCCAAATCCCAAACTGTAGCAGCAGGGAAGGCAAGTTTTACCATGGCTGAAGAAATGGCTAAATCAGGGAGACCGTTCTGAGAGGGCGGTTCTCTAAAGCCTTGCCTGGTGAAAGTCAGTGAAGCCGTGTGTCCAGAGACAGGGACTCTCACTAGAAGTACGATGGCTACTACAGTGGACGAGATTGCTAACGACCTACAAGAGCAGCTTGCAGAGAAAGCGACCGAATGTATTACATATTCACGTTGCGCTTCAGGATTTTATGCCCGGGTTAGACTTTTCTTGCATCAAAGAAAAGAGCTCAGGTTTCTGGCTTGGCAAAGCAACAGGAGGCTAACAGGTAATAGGTTTCTTCCAGGCTGAAAAGAGAAGAAAGAAAACACAACGTTTCGGCCGTGGAGCCTTCTTCAGGTGTGTTTCCACGGCCGAGACGTTGTGTTTTCTTTCTTCTCTTTTCAGCATGGAATAAACCTATTACTTGTTCCTTTGCTGCCTACGCACGCTGACACAGCTACCACCTGAACTACTACAGTCGGCTAGCAGTTTGTGATGTAGACCCATCCTTATTTGTGTTTGTTTGTTTTTATTCATTTCAATTAATGTATTTCAACTCTTTTTGTGCAATATAGTTACATTGCCAAAAATTACCTAAAATGTGTGATCTAATTTTTATCTTGAATACATTTTCTTTTATGAAAAATGCTCAACCATATTCTTCAATAGAGGAATACTGAAGCAATACTTTGTATAGGCTACATTCACTTGCATATGTGGAAAAATGTCTAACAGAACTGTAATCAGTACTTATCTCTGCATGTGTGGTCTGCAACACGATTAAATGTTTTTAGTTTGGCCCCCCTTAAAAATGAGTTTGAGGTCCATGATCTAGAACATAAGACAGACCACAAACAAGGGGAGGTTCATTTGGTAATTAGGAGTTAATTGTTTCCAGGATCTCATACAGATATTTATGGAAAGAATTGTTCCATACTTCCACCAACCTTTGTGTAAAGATGTACTTCCTCTTCTCAGTTTCCTATACACTTCTGTGATGTTTACAAATCCTATGGCCATCTTTGTTCCAGACTGAAGAGACTAAGTTCCTTCAGCCTGTCAGTGTGGAACACTCCCTTCAGACTAAAGAGACTCAGTTCCTTCAGCCTGTCAGTGTGGGACACTCCCTTC